GCTCCCTGCTCAGCGGGGAGTCTGCTTCTCCCCTGAACCTCTTCCCTCTCGTGCTCTCTGTCTCTCATTCTCTCTCTCGAAAAAAAATAAATAAAATCTTTAAAAAAAAAAATTTTTTTAAAGAAGTTTTAAAAAATGCATTGACATATAATGGTCCCCAGGTTATTGTCAACATCAACGTCGGGCCATATAGGAGGAAACATATGGAGAAACATTTGGAGTGATTGGTAATTTTGCAATGTGTTAAGATTCAATTTCTAAAAGTACAATAAAAAACCAAATAGTTCCTTAAATAAAAGAAACTAAACCAAAATCTTTCCACAATATTTTCTACATTGAAATTAAAATATATAGATTAATATTTATATAATCTTGGTTTGAGAAAGCCTTTCTATATGAAAGAGAAACCATCAGAAAAAGATTTGCCTACATCAAAATAAAAAACTTGTGTTTCAAAAATAAAATTAAACAGAAAATACGAACAAAACTAAGAGGTAAACAACCCAAAGAAAATAGTAACAACATAAATTTCAATGGTTCATGATTTTTAAATAGATAAAGCTTTTATAAATCAAATAACAAAATCAACACCCCAATAGAAAAATGGAGAGGGGTGCCTGGGTGGCTCAGTCAGTTAAGCATCTGCTTTCGGCTCAGGTCATGATTCCAGGGTCCTGGGATCGAGCCCCGCGTGAGGCTCCTTGCTCAACGAGGAGCCTGCTTCTCCTCCCTCTCCCACTCCCCCTGCTTGTGCTCTCTATCTCTCTCTGTCAAATAAATAAATAAAATCTTAAAAAAAAAAAAAGGGAGAAAGAACAGGACCAGACAATTCATACACATACAATTTAGCCAATAAGTACATGAAAAATGTTTAACCTTATCAAATGAAATAATGGAAATCAAAACAAGATAGCATTTCTTTATATACATGTGTTTGATAAAAAATGGTAATACATAGCATATATAGTACTCATGAGGGTACAGACAAATATTCTCAAACCCTGAAATTGAGACAGGTACAATCTCAGGGGGATGGGCAAAATGGGGGAAGGAGAGTGGGAGGTACAGGCTTCCAGTTATGGAATGAGTAAATCACAAGAACAAAAGGCACAGCATAAGGAATATAGTCAATGATACTGTAACAGCGTTATATGGTGACAGATGGTAGTTACACTTGTGGTGAGCACAGAATAATGTATAAACTTGTCAAATCACTATGTTGTAAACTTGAAACTAATGTTATATTGTATGTCAACTCTACGCAAATTAAAAATTTTAAATAAATAAATAAATAAACGGGCACAATCTCCCTGGAAGACAATTTAGCAATAAATATCTTTAAAAGTATACACGTTTTTGGGGAGCCTGGGTGGCTCAGTCAGTCAAGCGTCTGCCTTCAGCTCAGGTCATAATCCCAGTACCCTGGGATCGAGCCCCAGATCAGGCTCTCTGCTCGGTGGGGACTCTGCTTTTCCCTCTCCTTCTCCCCCTACCCCTACTCATGCTTGCTCTCTTTCTCTCCCTCTCTGAAATAAATAAAATCTTTAAAAATAAATAAATAAAAATAAAATATGCACATACTTTTAACAAATTCCCCTTTTAGAAATTCTTCCTTGAAAATGATCATGAATCTGCACAAAGTTTAGGTACAAGAATATTCATCTTAATGTAATTCATAATAGCAAAAACTTGGAACAACCTGTAAGTTGGTCAGCTGAAAAAATTATGGTACATTCAAATGATATATCCTGTAATCATTAAAAATTATAGAGGATGTGGAAAATGTCCATGTTAATGACAGGAAAAAGATGCTTAATGACATGGGAGAATGTTCAGGATGCAAGGGTGTTTTGGGTAAGAGACTGGGTCCGGAGTCAGACTGTCTGGGTTCAAATTCTGGATCCACCATAATTAGCTGTGTGACATTAGGCAAATTAGTAATCCTCTCTGTACCTGTTTCTTAATGTGTAGAAAAAAATATAACTCCTATGAAATAATGGATCTAGGCTACAATTATCAAAAGTTACTTAAAAGCATGAGGAGGAAGGTTGATGCGGAAGTTTATAACAGATGTACCTGACTGGAAGCACCACTAACCAATCTCAACATCAGTAAAGTGAGAAAACATAAGTGACACATAAGTGACATTATGTGCCTCCTATTGTGATACAACAGGAAATACAGTATACATCATGCCTATGAAGTATTCTTAACCCCCCAGATTGGACCCGAATTTACCCAAGTGTCTAGATCTATTAGCATACCTTAAATATGGAGATTTAATTCCATTAAAATGAGGTTCAAGAACAATCAAAAGAAATTGATGATGGTAAAAAGTTAGAATAGTGCTTACCTCTGGGGCAGGTATAGACTAGGAAAGGACAAAAGGAGACTTTACGGGTTACCAGAAGTTTTCTATATTGACGTGAGTGTACTTTATATACTTTATTGTGTGTATGTGATAGCTTAGTTTTTAAAAATGGAAAGAAGTAAAGCTCCTGCTTTTCACCACTGTCTAGTGGTAGGACGACAAGTAGGCATGGTTAGGGAACCAGACATGATGCCAAGAGGAAGCAGCAGTGTCCTGTGCCGGGCTCCCACCTGGGGGCCTTGTTCTGTGGGGCTCCCCCTGCTGCCAAGAAGAGCTGGGGTGGGGAGAGAGCAAGGCCTGGGCCAATAAAACTACGGTACTTTTTAGGGAAATCTTACAGAGTAGCTGTTCACAAGGATTTCCACATCACTAGTAAACTAAGAATACTGGCTGTGTTGTAAAAATGGGCTTTAATTTCACGTAAAGAATTTCAACAAGCCACCTCATCTACGCACTTGGACAAGCTGGTAATATGAATTAGATATTAGCAGTTAAAGCTAAGGCAATGTCTTATGGCTGGCTCCTTGGAAGAGTAGGCCCCAGAAACATTAGAACTTTGAGAATTGATGGAGTTTCCTTTGAAATGCCAAAAGACTGTTTTGGAAATTGGGCTAATTATAGGAACATGAAGGAGGAGTCAGGCCCCTCTCCCACTCAACCCAGTCCTTCATCTCTACCTCTACCCCTGGCCAGCAGAGCCTGAGAAATGTGCATTTTCAGTGTTCATCATCCCAATGGTAGAGGTGTACCAGAAGTTACAGAGAAAAAATACATGTTATGCTCATGTACTCTATGGCATACATTCCTTCTTGGCTCTGATAATCCCAATGATACATGCAAATAGAAGTCGGAGGTTGCACTTGACCCTGCAATACTTTAAGCTTAAAATTCACACCTCCTGTGAGAGAATGATTCCTTACAATGGTGCACTTGTCTGGTATGTTTTCATACTCATATTTAGGACTAAAGCAAATACAGAAAGTTGGTCTTTCTTTAAAGAGTGGAAAACATTTTTAAAAAAATTTCACTCTCATGGTATTCTTCTTTCACTAATAAAAAAATTTCAGTGGTTGGAGATCTAGGTCCTCTTCTTTAGCCAGGAGGGACACCCAGAAATTAGGAAAATTCAGGGCTATGTCCAAAGAAATGATGCATGGTTAGGCAGAATCTTTGTAAATGCTTTGAATGCTGGTGAAAGAGGAATTCAGTGTGATTTCTTGATCGCAGACAAATTAGCCAAACTGAAGCTGAGATCACTTCTTTTTCGGCCTTAGGTCACATGCTATTGGATACATGATGGAATTACTAAATGGATACGTATACCACTGGTCCACACTTAAGTGACCGGTCTGCCTTATTTCAAGGCTTCAAGCTATCTAAACTTAGTATAGCAGTCCATGGCTAAGTTTACGTAATGCAAGTTAAAGAAACCCCTCCTAATTCTATGTTATACAGCTCGATATAAAAATATCAAAAGTACACTTATCGGCTTATGGAGAAATTCATTAGTTTATCTTAATTTAAACCCTACTTTTAGAGTGAACAATTGTTTTCTTTGTCCTTACTCTCCAGTATCTCATCTTCTAGTACCTTAAGGGCACTCAATAAATAGTATTTTTTTTTTCTTTAAAAAAAAAGTGCAATCTTTCGGGGCTCCTGGATGGCTCCATTGGTTGGGCGTCTGACTTCAGCTCAGGTCCTGATCTCAGGGTCCTGGGACCGAGCCCCACCCACATCAGGCTCCCCACTCAGTGGGGAGTCTGCTTCTCCCTCTCCCTCTGCCCCTCCCCCTGCTTGTGTGCTCATGCTCTCTCAAACAAATAAAGTCTTAAAAAAATTAAATATAAGAAAGCAATCTTTCTTCTTAGCAAAAATAAAAATTTATTGAGCCTATACTGTATGCCAAACACTATTCTAAATATTACCTTATTTAATCCTTACGATAGCCCTATGAGGTAAGCGCTATTAATATCTTCACATTATACACTAGGACACTGAGGCACCAAGAGGTTAAGAAATGTTCCCATGGTCACAGAGCCAACAAGCAGCAGTTTGGGATTTGAACCCAGGCACTGTGACTCAAGAGCTCACGCTCTTACTACTCTCAGCTTATGTAGTCTGGAGCAATTTCCTTTGAGTTGGTGGGTTCAATTCTTAGCACCACTTTATTTACCAGCTGAATGAGTCCTGGACAAACTGCTAAAGGTCTCCGTACCACAATTTCCTCACCTATAAATGGGTCTAACAACAGCCTGTCTATAGGATTTATTGGGAAAATTAGATGAGATTATACTGCAGACAACCTGGCAAACAGTAGCCATTCAACAAGAGCTAGTGCTATTCCTTCCCTGTCTGACATTCCTCTTCTCTTTAGGCTTGCCGCTGCTCAGCAAGTGTGAAACTTCCCATTCCAGCTCCAGTGAAAATCAGGTCCCAACATAGCTCAGGAGAGGAGACCAAGCAGTGGTAGGAAAATTGGCACTATTGCTGCCAACTACACCCTTGGCGGGTGTAGTTCATCTCAGCCCCAAAACAGTCCTCACCGTGCAAGCATAAGAAACTTCCAATGTACACAGACTGTGGTTCCAAAGCCATACTGCCCCCCTTTTCCAGACGATGGAAAACTCACCTAATGCTCTGACAATTCGCATCAGGACTTCCCCGACTTTCATTCTGGTCTCCGGTGTGTGCTTGTCTTTATCACTGTCATACTGAGCCAACAGGCCAAGCAAGATTTTCTCAGGGTATGCATCTGAGAGCAGGGCAACCCCTGGGGTTAAAAAAATAAAAAGAAAGGATTCATTATGATTTAAAACTGGAAGGCAAATAAACCCAGACAGCCTGTGATGGGATCAACACTGAGACACTTAAACCCACCTCTGCAATTCTACCAGGAAGGGCTGCTCTTTATTTGGATGACAACTCAGTGAGTGCAAAGAACATGGGTCTGGGAGTTCAGACGCCTGGATTCTTCTGGTCTCAGTCCTCTCTGATCTCTAAGATCACTTCCAGCACTGACATTCTATGATTTATGGATTCTAGAGTCTAAAAGCAGAGGCTAGATGATCACATATTGTGGCAGGGATTCACACAGCAGCAGGAGAAGACTAGATTAAATACCCTCTAGGGAGCCCTCCAAGTCTGAGACTCTAAGGTTCTCTGACTAGCATCACCCCTGCCAGCATATCAGTCGAATATCCTGTCTCTGCTGCAGTTCTCTGTTCCAATATGAGTATTCTCTGTAAAACTGTCAACGAGGAGAGTAATTTCCACAAGGAAATATCTTCAGAGCATTCTGGGCATGATCAGTAGGAGACCCATGATTATTTATGGCTGAGTTCCCTGATCAGAAATGGGGAAGGTCCTGCTCTTGAGTCCATATTCCAAGTACAGGAGTACTCCCCCCTCCCCTTATCTGGAGGGAACAGGTTCCAAGACCCCCAGTGTATGCATGAAATTGCAGATAGCTCCAAACAATCTATATCCTATGTTTCTTCCCATACATACCTACCTTTGATAAAGTTCAATTTATAAATTAGGCAATGTAAGAAGTTAACAACAATAACTAATAATAAAATAGAACAATTATACCAATATACTGTAATAAGTGTTATGTGAATGGGGTCTCTCTCAAAATATCTTATTGTACTCCACACACCCTTCTTCTTGTGAGGAAGTGAGATAATAAAATGCCTACGTGATGAGATAAAGTGAGGCAAATGGTGCAGGCATTGTGGCAGGTTACAACTGACCCTCTGATGATTAGGCAGAAGGAGGCTTATCTGCTTCCAGACCACAGGTGACCGCAGGTAACTGAAACCGTGGAAAGCAAAAGTGCAGATTAAGTGGGGACTGCTGTACATGCTGATCCCTTCTGCCATCATGCCAGTACCTCCTAGATGGGTAATCATCTGAGCCCTGCCCCATATTAGGCAAACTTCACAGGGGTGGAGAGAGGAGGGGAGATATGACCCAAGATAGGAGCAGAAATAAAGCCCCTGGTCTCAAAAGTATATTAATAGAAGTTCTGTTACTTGAGTGGAAAATGTCATAGACTTCTAAAGAATAGTAATGAAGAAGAAAAACAAAGGAAGGAAATACAGGTTTCAAAATATATTCAGGAGGAAAATGCTTCTTTGTATCACCTCCACCTTAACTACTCTGGTCTATCATTTGTGGCCTGCTACTTTTCTTTTTCTCCCCAACTGGTCTCTCCGCTTTTACCCTATACCCTCACTGCAGCTGGAAGCATCTGGTTAAAACAAGTCAGGCCCCGTCATTCTTCTGCCCAAAGCCCTTTGTGGTTTCCCTTCTCCCCTGAATATGAGCACCCCCCCCACCCCCACCTGCCTTCGTTCACTCTCCGACCTGATCTTTTACCGTCCTCAGCCACTCCGGCCTACTCACTGTTCTTAGAGTAGACCAAGCTGCTCCGGGCCCATGGTCTTCCCCTGGTATCCTGTCTAGGCTGCTCCTCTTCCAGGCAGCCTTACAGCTTGCTCCCCAGCCCCATGGTGTCTCTGTTCAAACATCATACTTACCCCTTCCCTTACCACTCTTTATCCCCCTCGCCCTGCTTCACTCTTCTTCTTAGCACCTATTATTACCTGGCATGTTATATACAGTATCTGTTTATTTATTGACTGCTCTCCGCCTTAGAATGTAAGCTTTACAAAGTCAAGGATTTTTGTTGTTGTTGTTGTTGTTGTTCTCTGTTGTAGCCTCAATGTCTAGAAGAGTGCCAGCACATGTCAGGCGCTCAGTAACTACTTGTTGAATGAATTAATAAAAGGTTCAAAGATACAGTCCTGATAGAAATTTCAGGAATGAGGGGCGCCTGGGTGGCTCAGTTGGTTAAGCGACTGCCTTCGGCTCAGGTCATGATCCCAGAGTCCTGGGATCGAGCCCCGCATCCGGCTCCCTGCTCGGTGGGAAGCCTGCTTCTCCCTCTCCCACTCCCCCTGCTTGTGTTCCCTCTCTCGCTGTCTCTCTCTCTGTCAATTAAATAAATAAATAAAATCTTTAAAAAAAAAAAAAGAGAAATTTCAGGAATTAAAGAAAGAGAAGACGGGGAAGGAGTAATAAAAATGCTTAAGAAATCCTTAATCATTTTTCATCTGAGTTTACCAATCTCCCATTTTAATTTGATATTCATGCAGGCAAAGTCTACATACTATTTCCTTTAAAAAAAAAAAGATTTATTTATTTGAGAGAGAGGGAAGAGGGGCAGAGGGAGAGAGAGAATCCTGAAGCAGACTCCCTGCTGAGTGCAGAGCCGGATGGACACTCGGCTGGATCCCAGGACCCCAAGATCATGATCTGAGCTGGTAACAAGAGTCGGCCGTTTAACCAACTGAGCCATCCAGGTGCACCTATTTTCTATGTTATAGGTTGTGATTCCATTCTCTTATTTAAATCAGATATACACAAAGGCAGTGCACCTGCTGAGGGCTGCACCTGTCTGCCTCTTTTTTGCCTTCTCCACCCCTGTCTTTTCATTGCTTCCAAAAAGCCTGGAAAGTCCCTGCATATGGTCCTAAAGCACATCTTCCTTTATGTGGCCTCCAATTTTACACAAGCAGAAGCTCTTCTCTTCAGGAAGTTTCAGGCTGTGGCTGGCAGAACCTGAATTAGACAGTTTCCCTGCTGGCACAATATGACGGTGCATTTGTAGTTGGCTCTATTATGCAAAATGATGGGGAAGTTCTTGGAGGTCCAAGGTGGCGTTAAAGATATTTTAGCATAGGGGAAAATGTCTGTGGCTAAGAGAAAGATAAATTGTTTACGAAGGGAGAGAAAGGAAACAGTTTCCAAATCTTCCAAAGAATGCAAAGCAGAAGTGAACTGGTAGCTGGTAACTGCAGTTCTGGCAGCCACTGTATCACTGATAAAAAGGCCTGGTATACATCATAGATCTATGGCAATCATAACTACTTTTCATCAGAAGTTCCCAAGTCAGAAATCTGGTAAATTTGTTTCCTTTTAGGAATACAGTTGTGACTTTATAATGGAAATCGGTGGGAAAATGGGATTTGGTTTATAAAACTTTGATCTATATCTAGCTTTTCTGAAAAACATTTATTTCTAAGTCCCTCCTACTGTCACTTATGCCTATTTTCTCTCATTAATCTTTAGCAGAAAATAGTTATTTCCTTCTCACAATATATCCTGCTATATACTTCAAAACCAAACGAGCTCTTGATTTCCTTTCTGTAGCAGACATACATTTTGGTGGCACACAGCATCTACTCTGTCTTCTGCGAGCAAAACCTCATGGTCCTTTGGGAACTATCCCTTTCCTATCCTTGGTCTCTGTGGTTTGAGTGGAGCTAACTACCCACTTTCTCTCCCTCCATGTGTAAACTCAGATCCCAGGCAGGCCAGTTAGGACATTCCATCCCCTGCCCACACAATGATGGGCTCAGGACTGGGCAATGAGACTCAATTCTGGAGCCCACACTGGAACTACTGGGAAAGATAAGCTCTTTTCCCCTGCCCCCGCTGTTGAAGTTATTAGCCTGGCGCTGCCTGTGGCCATTATGTGGAGAAAACACACCCAAAAATAAAGCCAACACAGAAGAGGGTCAAGCCAAGAGAGGGAAGGAGAAAAGGAAGAGACATGATGTCACGCTTTGAGCCTCTGGATCCAACAGTATTTCCATCCACTAGATTCTCTGCATACATAAATCAATAAATATCCTTTTATGGGGCGCCTGGGTGGCTCGGTCAGTTAAGCGGCTGCCTTTGGCTCAGGTCATGATCCCAGGGTCCTGGGAGCGAGTCCCGCATCAGGCTCCCTGCTCAGCGGGGAGCCTGCTTCTCCCTCTGCCTGCCTCTCTGCCTACCAATGTTTCTATCTCTCTGTCAAATAAATAAATAAAAAATCTTAAAATAAATAAATATCTTTTTTATGTGTATGGCAGTTTGATTTTTTTCATCCAAAGGAATCCTAACACATCCTTCTTCAGGTTAAAAAATGTTTTTGAAATTTTTATTTATTTACTTACTTCCGTACTTTTCCTATAATGCCTAACTTTTAATTCCACTAGGGAGCTTTAAATTCTTCCACTCTTGCATTAAAAGGTTGCCAATAGCAAAGCCCAGTTTCCTTGCTTCCCACAGTCCCATGTTAGCAATTGGTTATCTTCTTGATTGCCTTTTCCCCAAACTGCTGCCAAATGGCCTCTGACTGTTTTGAGTTTTACCTTCTAGGATACAGCTGCTACCTAGTTTATAAATTCCTAGAGGACAAGGGCAGCTCCCTCCTTACTCTTACAGCAAGCAGCTGTGAGACTGCTTACATGATGGTTAAGACTGCATAACAATTAAAGAGATGAAATTCTGTGTGGCTGGTTTTGTTTCTTATTTGAAAAACTCTCTGAATTTTGACAACTGAGGAAGCACAGCCATAACCTTCACATGACCCTTGGTCCCTCGCACTTGATAATTCCTTTGTAATTTAAAAATGGGGTAATTTCTGGGTCAGCACAGGCTTCAAGGAAACACAACACATCAATCCCTTTGGCAAAAAGAACCAAATGACCGTGTGAGAAATACCTGCTCCTGCTCTGATCGCAGGAAAATGACTACATATTTCAAGATGTGGCCTAACAGATAAGTTACACAGAAGATAAAGGTGAACCTAAAATGGCCAGGGTTCATGAAAACATTCTGATCTGTATTTTCAGGCAAAGCATAGGATGTAGGCAAATTAACTCAAGTGAAAAAATATTAATGAAAGTACATTATGCAACAAAACAGAGACAGACA